TGATCACAGTGAGAAAATCGTTCTCTTCATGAAGAAAGCTTCAGATTGATAGGGATGCATCTACCTGAAAAATACCAGGAAAACTTCGACGTTTCGAGCGAAAGTCTAATTTCCCCACGCCGGTCTTTCCTGGTATTTCTTAAGGTCAAGATTATATTCTCTTTATTACACGTTGTAGCCCATACTTTGCAGCTGTGTTTCCGCGGAATTCATTCAACCGCTGATCAGAATGTCGCATTACGCAACGCCTTATTTATAACGCAGTAATTATTGGCATTAATCGCGCAAAGTTACTTTAATGTTGTCATATAAACTAGAGTTCCTTTATGCCAAGAAAACTTTAACCCAGTTCACAGGTCAAAATATTAATTATCCAAGATTGCTCCCCCTTTTGGCAACAAAACGACGAGGCGGTTCACAGGTCAATATAAACATTGCTGGGGTTCTGGTTCCAAATAACAACTATAGGAATGAAAGGTCATACAGACTGAGTACATGATCTGGAATGTAGGTTGACTTAAGCTATACCAAGTTTATGCATTGAGACAACTCACCCACATTTCTGTGGACAAATAAAACCATTGCGAAAAAACATTTTGACAGGTCTGTCACACCTTATACGGTTGTATGTTGAAGATTGGGATAATTATAGCAGTTGGAATGTTTGCAGAGAAACGTGGCCTAACTAACCTTGCTTAACCCATTAATGAGTTCTGTTATTCCGTAAAACGTCAGATTATTTAAGATTACCGGTTGAAACTGGTCAATACAACAATGTTTCATGCAGAGATAGATTATGTAAACATTGTGATCTAAATGAGATTGAATACGAACGACATTTTGATTGTCCTGCAACAATCTCAGCAATATTACAGTTTATAAATATTCTTTGGAAAATAAATTCTTCGTTCTCATTTAATCATCAAAATATTTTTACTTATATAATGGCTATGCAATTTTGACTCATATTAAAAGTGCTAGATGCGCGACCAGCATTCATGATAAAGTTTCTTAAATGTTCTCTGATCGTAAAATTTATTTAAATGCGAGCTTTCGACTGCCAGTCTGCAGTCTTCGTATCAGTTTACCTGTCGAAGACTGCAGGCGAAAGCTCGTGTTTAAATAAATTTTACGATCAGAGAACGTTTCAGATTTCAGGAACTTTATTATGACTCAAGTTGCAAAATATAGTTACGATGTTATATCACCAGTATCAGTTTGTTTCTTATTAATGTATTCTTGTGATTTTTATGTATATGTATCTATATATACCGAAACTGGTGTTTATGTTGATTAAATATTATATATCCCATTTTGAAAAGCATGCTTAACTCTTCTGTACAACATCAGATCGGCGCAATACGTTCAAGAACATGTACTTAAAGTTCCAAGCACCGTGCCATACTCATGAGCTTCATGTTTCGATCTTAGAAAAATTTAATTATATTGAACTAATCAAATAACACAACATTTAACGAAATACTTGAGAATACTTGTAACTACTTCAGCAGTAAGGAAGTATAGCAAAATACCACTTAACAACGTTTACAGCACTAGGAAACATTATAGGTGAGAAAAACACGTAATCTCTGTGACTTTGTCTACCACTTGTAATCTTACACCTCAGTCCATTATAACCATCTTATCAGCTTTTAACACGGATCGTAAATGCAACAGCAGTTTAAAAGCTAAATGCTTTTGTGTGCGGTGATTTTTTACGTACATGACGCGAGCTTTAAAACCAAAAATCCAGCAGAGATATAACCATTAAGAAAAACCTTTGTTTATTTTTGTTTCTTTCCATAAATTGCTTTTGAACAGTCATTAATAGCTTTTATGAATTTGTAAACATATTGGTGACAAGTGCCGAGTCGAGTGTAATGAACACCACGAGAGGAGATAAGATCTTACCTGGCCAACCACATTGTCGCGGTCGCGCGCGCACAAGATAACGCTCTGACGCAGCAATTTGTCGGTGACCTGTGAAAGATAACTGCATTTTGAATTGCGCTTGTAAAGACACCGCGCGCGGATGGCGTCTTATCACGTTTTAGAATTTTGTGCGCTACCTACCTCATGTTGATGGCGCGACATGTCATTAAGCAAATTTGAAAACAGTGTTCATTATTTATAGAATAGAAAATACGTTTAAATTTGTGACTCGGACAAACCTCGTGCACGCCAGGTAGTATTCCAATAGTGAAATGATAAGGCCGCGCTTCGTTATCTTTGGTAAATTTTGCCCAGAGGTCGAAAGTGGCGCGCTAATCCCCTCATTAATTCTAAACAATCAGCCCGCCGCAATTTATTTTAATAAATGATCAGCTCGCCGCAAATTATTCCTGCAAATTAACGGCAATTTGACTTGAAGGTTTGCATTACTTTTTTTTGTAAATGCTCGAATTACTAATATCTTAATTCGGCTTCTAAATGTTTTAACTATTTTCCGGTCAATAATTTCCAAACTATTTTCGTTTTCGTCAGAGCCACCTGACAGAAATTTTACCGTTGAATATACTGGAACATTTGGAAAACACTTGTCTGGCGCACAACAGTATGCTTCCTTACAGAGTGATCAAACTTGATTTTTGGATCAATTCAATCAAAACTACTATTTATGTAGGATTTGGGAAAGGTTTCGAAGCGTTACAAGTCCGTCGGATTGAGTATTGTACAACTGAAAGTTTTAAAATCTCAGTTTAGTTTTTCAATAACAGTCAGATCCAAGGCATTGCAATCAATGGCAGCGTTTGTTTAATGGCCGCATCTGCAATTTACAGTTGTTTTGCGGATGCTATAAAAGTCTTCATTAAAATTAATTTTGAAATCATGCCTAAAGTGATTATTCTTACATTTATATAAATACCAAACACGATTATAGTTTCTTCTAGAACAGAAGGTGCACTTTTTCTACTACAATTTTTAAAGGGCATTTATAGTTGCAGATGATCCAAGTTAATTCGATCCCTTATTTTGCAATATTTGAAGATCATTCAATGACGTACAAAATATAATCGGCAATATCAATATTGTATACATTGCATAATTGTTAGTAGCTCTGAGTTTTGTTTTTCGTCCATATGTTACATAAGAAATATGGTCGTTGTTTTTGTGACGACTTAACCGGCTTCATTGTCCAGTTTAAATTTGTATTTCATGTGTATCCGTCTTTGTTGTCAAAAAATCCATTGTTTTATTCGTCAGGACGCTGTGAATTTAGTGCGCGTGTTTTTTTTCCACGTCCGAGCCTAGATCGAATGACCTTAAGTTCTCTTCCATCCTCAGAGATATGAAGTTGACAATTATGGATTCGATTGTTTTCTCTGTGACGCCTTGAACTGAGATGATTATAAGGATTCTTGAGAAGACACAACTCACTGAGTTATTTGTCTTATTTGGGTACTTGCATATTTGTTAAGGTTATTTTTCAAAACTGCAAGCATTTAAAAACATGATGACGCGGTGTAGGAAGCGCCAAAACCGATCCATCCTTCCGTTGCTTAGAGCCTCTAAAAATATAATACAAAACAAAGTTCGAAAAATAACATCTAAGAATCCAAACTATGGATAAAAACAAAGCCAGAAATATGAGTTATGCATTTCAATTTTGTTGCAAAATTGTCATCAGACTAACTGTCGCATCAAATATACTTGGGCCGTTATATATGGCGCAATACATGACATCATACTGACGTCATAAATCCATTGTCCAGTATCAGTATGGTAATGTTGTCATTCACTAACCAGCTAGTCTGATGATGATGCAACAAAATCGAAATATCAGAAACTCGTGTCTATAGTGTTGTTTTTATCCATATCTTGAATTAGATGTTATTAGTAGTTTCGCCTTTGTTTTGCATTGATATTTTTGTCAGCTGCGATTTTTTACAGCCTGTAAGACTTTCTATTCATCACGTTTCGAGCAAAGATGACAAATCGCGGGGCAAATTACTTTCATCACGTGGCAATTTTAAACTTGAAAGCGCGTGCAAAAAAGTGTGTTGAGATCACGTGACAGCAGCCATGAATCAGACATATTTTTCCTTCCTACTCTTGTTTGAGTAAATGAATGCCATCCACGCACAAATTATATTCATGATCCAAGCTGTAGTTTTATGCATTTGCCAAGAAAATTTCTCATCTTAAGGACGCTCGAGTGATTGTTAAACACAATCTCATTCTCTTCAGAATGTCACATAGGATTGTTTAAATCTATTTAGTGTCCGGATTAGCACGTGAGTGTTGTTTAATCTACGCTCTTTGCGCGCGGGTATTATCAATATTGGACAACAAGCTAACAATTTGGCAGAAACATTGTGAAAATTTATGACCAGACAAGAGTTTTATTAATGGCCAAATCCCCACGACTCAACGACACTCCAATCCATTGTGTCTTCATTGGTGGTTTGGCAAAACCTGGGGAGTTCTTGTACATGAATGATTGGGTGTGCGTCACAAGGCATGGAAACATCATGCTACTAAACTCGATTTGGACTTGGTTCCCATGAAAGCAGATGTGTGAATGCCCCATACCTCAATGCCTACCACGATGCAAGTGTGAGTCATTTTCCCTAAAAAAACTCTAAGGCACAGATTAAGCGCGATCTTTTTCACGTCGGATCTTGTTTCTCGATGGCAAAAGGTTGCGCTAGTGTCCTGCTCAAATATCGCGAAGACCTTTTTTCATTTCTCTTTGGAAGCGGATGGGTGGGAGGAATCGTATCGTGGTTGGTAAGCTATCATAGTCAATGTGTTGACAAGAATTTAATTGAGTGACAGTCGTAGAAAAATGAGCAATGTTCAACACTTGCATTCAGTGTGTGTGTGTGGTCAACCCTGTGGGGGGCCTCTCGCTCATTGGTTGGAACTTAATTGCATTAACAATAGAAGGGTGACAACAATGTAATTTAATCATAGATGTCTTACGCGTGACCTAACTTATATTTCAGCGAGTAGGGCAGTGAACAGTTGATTAAAACAGTCAGAGCGGCAAGGCGAGAATGATGGCTATGTATCCTTATTCCTCAACACAAGCTGGTACGAATGGAGTCATGCATTACCAAGGCTATGATTTCTATCGCCCTAATCATCCGTATTCTAGTATGCATTACTCAATGTCATACCCGGCTTCGCAGTATAGAGCAGATCATTATTATAACCCCACAATGGTTCGAGCCAGCACAACCGCTAAAGATATGGTTAAACCTCCGTATAGTTACATTGCTTTAATAGCCATGGCTATACAAAACCAGCCTGACAAGCGAATCACTCTCTCCGGCATATATCAATGGATTATGGATAGGTTTCCATATTATCGCGACAACAAACAAGGATGGCAGAACTCTATAAGACATAACCTCAGTCTCAATGAATGTTTTGTCAAAGTTCCTCGGGACGACAAGAAGCCTGGCAAAGGTAGCTATTGGACTTTAGATCCGGACAGTTATAATATGTTTGAAAATGGAAGTTATTTAAGAAGAAGGAAACGTTTTAAACGCAAAGCGAAGAAGGATGGCGACGATACGTCAAGCGACGCAGGTAAAAGTGAAGAGAAAAGCGAAAGGGCTGCAAGTACGTCTGCTGAAAGTCAGCAAAGCGAAGAAAATGATGAAAGTATGTTAAGTACGAACAAAGACGAAGAACTCAAGCCATCCTGTATGAAGAAACAAGAACATTGTAGTTTAAGAAATGACAAGGAACACTGTAGTCTTAGAACGGATAACTGTGCCGCAGATATCACAAATCTCTCTCCTGTTATAAAGAGTCCTAAATTAGAAACTCAAAGTCCTCATTCAAACAGTTCCTCGCCTGCTCAAGATAACCGTAACCTCAATCCTTCATGCACTCTACCCAATGGTTATACCGAGTTTAATTTCCCAGCAGCCGCGTCCTCGTACAACTATCCACCAACATCCTATCATCAAATGGAGAAAGTTGCCTACCCCTCGCCATGTGAATACCCACAACAGCAGATTAACGAGAACTACCATAACAACTACATCCCACATTCGCCTCATGTACCAGCGCATTCTTCTCACATCCAAGCAGAAACCACACCAGCCAGACATGCATATTTACCGCCGTATCCAAGCCAAGATCCTTACAACGAAATTCAACGCAATACTGGCACTCAAATGAATTCAAACACTTGGTATGCTATGCGTGAACAAACGACTCCACCGTATTCTAGTGCAGAAAATATACCGCAAATTATGCAAAATAATGCGTCAAGTTTTCCGCCTAACGTCCGTGAAATGTTTGAGGCGCACAAACTTCCCGTGAACTCGCAAAGCCAAGAACATTTGATGAACACAACGCAAGCGCATTACGGAAACCTTGATGGTGGATACTATCACACGAACAATAACTGGTGAATGAACGCATTTTAACTTTACAGGTACTGGTTGAACATAAAATTTCGACCTTAAGTTTGATGAGTTAGTATTTGAACATTTTAAAACCAACATTGCCAATATGAACAATTAGTTAGTATTTGATTATTCAAGGATCACATCGTGGTGTATACGAACAGTCTTAAGTACACTTGTTCATATTTTATAAATAAGACCCTTCGCTATTTGCCGTAAGTATTTAATTTTGTTGTAAAGAAATTGTATAGAATTGTAAGATATGAACATTAATAGGAGAATATACTTTATTTTGAAATATACTCGAATGTTTTGAAATTGTGTGGCCGGAATTTCGAGAATTGAATACTTAATACAGAGAAAATGTCAAAACTGCGCGTCCAAAATGCAAATTTTCCATAGTCGTGAGATATTGGGTCGTGTGAGGGCGCGACTTAAATAGTTAATAAGGTGGGAACAGATTTCCTCACCTAGTTTCGTTTACTGAAAATGTAGCCAGGTTCATTTGTTTCCCACGAAAAGTTGTGTTCTTTAATGTCAACCCTGGGGAAATTGAGCAAAAGGAAATAAGCTGCAGCAAGGCACAGTTGGACTCGTTTTAGTCGATGCTGGACACCAAGAAATTGATCCAAAATTAGAATGAGGAGCCACCTCATAGCCTTGCGCGAAATTCTTCCTTGGGAAATTAATTAGATGATTTGCGACAAGTTTGGCGTTCAAAAATCAACTTTGAGACGAGTTATTGTAAGATTTTGCTGTAATCGCCTAATGTTTATTATTGTTCGTAGTATAACTGTAGTTAATTGTCGCAATTAGGCTTGTCGAAACTTGTCTTTTTGTGCAGTAGAATTAGCCAAGTTAGCCTATCAATGATCGTCTGTTTGGGATATTTAGTTCAACTAGGCCGTTTTAGTCTTTCCGCTCCAACTTAAGTTATTGGCTTTGAATATCGATAAGGCTGCAAGATATGCCTATGCCGGCTATGCCTAGAAGATGAAAGTGTTTGAGGAATAAAGTTTATGAGAAGATGCTTGATATTTCTTAATGTTGCGCGGGATAAAGGATTCGTAAAAGATAATGTATTCATGCATATATCCAATTTACGAAAGAAATTTGTTTTTTGTTAAACTAAGTTATCAGTTGCGAGCATAATTTTGAACCTTACTGTGGTCAAATACTTCTCCTGTGCCTGTTTCACGAGGTTTAGCGAGATTCATTCATCGTGCACCAAAGCCTGTTTGTAGCTGTTCCAAACCAATCAGGTTTTCGTTAGAAAACTATGTTATCTGTTGGGCTTTCACTTTTGTTTTAACGTTTATGAGCTTTTGGTTTTAGCTGTGTGCAATTTTATTCTCTCTATTGATATGCAAACTAGATTTATAAACGGCAAAAAAGAGCTTTCTGGGGTCTTTTTAATTTATTTGTCGCACTGGCTAGCTACGCTAAGACTGTAAGACATCGTAACATGTTTATTTATTTTTCAGTACTGACCAGAAATTGTAGCATAGCGCAGACTGTGTTGATTTGAAATGTCACTTCGCGGTTTTAGATTATATCCTTTTGGTAATGAAGCACGTAGGTCCTGTTTTGGGTAATTATTTCACTAAACGTGTGGGTCCAGTGTAGAAAGTATTCTACCCAAAAATGGGAGACTTCTCGAACGTGTGGCGGTGCAGTGTAGGTCGCATATTCCACCGTGGTTTGTGTTTGAACTACCTGACAAAGATATCTCAAATGTTGTGGTCCAGTGTAGGTAGCATTCTACCATAAGCTGTCGTGGTTTGTTTCTGAACTACCTGAAAAAGATATCTCAAACGTGGTGGTCCAGTGTAGGTAGTATTCTACAATAAGCTGCCGTGATTTGTGTCTGAACTACCTGAAAAAGATTAAAAACAGCGAAGGCTTTCAAAAAGTCCTTCAAGCTTTACTGGAAAGGTTAAAGTATTTTTGATATTTAGTTCTGGCAGTTGCATGAGACACAAACTACTGTAGCTTCTATTGCTTCTGGTAAAGTATTTTATTTTGAGGCCAGTTTATTTTATGAATTTAAAACGCAAAAATGAAAAGGATAGAAGCATATACATCCCTCAATCTGCCGGCAAACAAAGTCTGGTCATCAGTAATGAAAAGAATGAACATTATTTTCTCATTTTGATAAGTACAGGTTGACGGCGCGATAGTGCTTAGTGCTAGCCACATATTGTTTGTATCGTAAACCGGCAACGTTTAAAAAAGACAAAATTAAATTCTCGTTCATTTCGACTTAACTGCGGGGGTACAATTCATACTTCAGCACGCTAAATAGAATCATGAATGATCAGTAATTTACCCTCACACTAGGCCTCAAGATTATCAAACTGAGAAGTTAATTTAAACTCGACAGATAAAGCTTTTCCTTCCAGGAAGAACACACTCAACACGTATTGTTCAATGCCTTCACAATAAATTAAACGCGCAGGCACCATAATGCTCACACTCAATATTCATATCCGAATGCGAATTAGCATGCTCTCCATATGCGCGGAAACTATTTTTGAATCTTTATTGAATTAATTGGTTTCGCCCGTATAGATTTACAAGAGTAGTAATTTACATAAAAATATAAACAAAGTAAGGCCTAGAGGTCTACTAGAAACCTAAAAGGTTTTTGGATCAGGGTTAGTTGCATGAGCAATTATGTTGTTCAGACCATTCTATTGGTGGCTATCACTAAGCATTATCGTGCGGCAAATGGTAGTCAGTCTGCAGTTACCAGACAGAGAAAATAATGTTATTTTTTTCGTAATATGTGGTAGTCTTGTATTTGGAATTAAATAGAATTGAGACATTTTCTTGCTCTTGTAAGTGTGAAGTTGTTCATTATCTGCAGCCGTGAAACGCCTAGCAATTAACTATGTACAGTACAACAACATAAACTGCATATATAGGAGCATAGCACTTTGGAACCAGCATTTGTGAATCAATGTGTCTTTCACGTGGATTGTTTACAATTGAGTGTAAAAATGAAACATCTTAATTGTTGGGTTCCAGTGGGCGTTGAATGTTCGAGATTTTCCTTGCAGGGTCGTTTTGAGCGAATGCTCTTCCCCAGAAGGTCATTGACATTGTAAAGTTAGTAAAGACTGGTTACACGTAGGGCGCGCTGAAATTCAGGCTAGATGCAACATTTCATCTACTAGATGAAGTTTTATTATTAAAGTGTGAGAGAGTGAAGGTCATGTTATGATATGATATTTACAATTTACATGTTTAAACTGATATAAAAACTCTTAAGATTGAACAAAGCAAAATTCCACTCAAATGTCGATCATTTTTTAGGCTAATTCTTAGCGAGCTTGATTTCATGCCTTGACTTTAATCACGTAAAATTAACATGATCCCTCTTTTCGTGCGTGCTAATCGTGGTTTTTTTCTGCTTGCCATATGTAGATCCTCTTAAATAACAGAATTACCTCATCGCGGGGGACAATATCAAGATTAATATGCTGCAAATTAAGCTTTATAAGAATAGTTAAGAATATTAAAAGTCCCATCCCAAAGGATGGATAATACTAGAGCTCCCTACTGAGTCACCAAGCTCACACGAAAACACGAACACGAAATAAAGTTCAACTCAAAAAAGCGATTAGGTCACGATATTACACAACTATACTACCTTGGTATTGGGGGATATTTGAATTGAACTCTCAGTGTTGATGGACAACGTGTAAAATTCACTCGTCTGTCTTACTTTTAATTTTGACGCAAATTATGCAGCTTTATATGATCTTGCATGTTATGACGCGGCATATGTTAATACTCATGAAATGTATGCCGGGGCCAGTTCCTTAATTCTAGGTTAATGTAAAACTTGAAACCAAACTTCCTGAAAGCTTGTGTATAAATTTGGAAGTATATTCGAGAGAAATATTGTCTGATTCAATAGAACGTGCGAAAATACACAACTCAACATGTTTTATCCTGGTCGTGCGTTGTAGAGTATGTATGTTTAAATAACAAGAGGTAAAAGCTGGGCAAACAGGACTCTTCACTCTGTCCGTGCAATACTTTAAATTAAGCCCCTAAATTCTCCTAATATAATGGCACCTCCTTTTTCCGTTTCGTGAATTTAAACAGTGCTAACAACAGGTTATTTAAATGACTTTAAAAAAAACAAGAATATCCAATAATGTTGTGGAGGTCCGGTTTGACCAACTTTCAGTCTTTCGCAAATCCAGTGAACTCTGTGAGATTTTAACGACTTTTATTCGTGAGATTTTGTGTCTAGCAGAGGCTGGACCTCGCCTCAAATACGAAACTATTGACCTTGATACAGTGGGCAAACAAAGTGAAATTTCTGTCAAATCTTTATCAAACACCACACTAGACACCTCCTAGGGTTTGAACTCGTGCCAAATTTCAGCTGTTATTCCATATTTTTTTCCTAACACCGGCCATTTTTTATGCCGTATTATTGCATGAGTTTTACGCATTCGTTTTCACCATTTTTGGAATGGTGCATTAAGTAGTTTTAAAACGAAAGAAATCTTGACATTCCTTTTTAGGAAATATTTGCATTCCACAAGCGTTCACTCTTTCTTATTATTTTAACTTCTTTTTAATCGCCATTATGTTTATGCGGTGGCCAATTTAAAGTGTTGCCAAAAATGTTGAAAGCAAATTGTTTTGCACCAGTTTAAAAATTTGAAATTTTGTGTAGTTTATTTGTCAACTCATAATTTACACAAACATTCTGGGCGATGTTTACTGAGTTTGTCTGTAGAAATTGTCGCAACTCCTTTTAAAGTGAATAAACATCAACATGAAAATTTACTCTAGTCAAGTGTTCACAGCTATGATTCCCAATTTTGCGCGAAACAAAAATAGTTGCTAAGGTAGGAGGGTTTCACAACCTGCAGTTATCAGAGAGAGAAATGAAAGTTAATTCTTTTCGTTGTATGACCAAGAAATATCAACAAATATTATAGTGAGCAGTATTACTTTAGAGGGACAGTGTTATGTTGTTC